TGAAAGAGAAAGATATTGCTAAAGACCCCAACATTCCCCCTGTAAGTTCAAGATCATTTTATAGAATCTGCTAAGACACTGAAAGTCAAGAAAAAGATAAAGTGGCATCTTATATATCTAAATCAACATAGCTGGTGGCATAGTTCGATGGTAGAGCATATACATGAGGCAATGGGCTAATCTTCATCATACAATTAAATAAACAAAAAATAAGGCTGTAAGTCGTTAACAGAAAAAGTCCTTAACTGTAGTTATTTGGTGTATGAGAAACCTAATCTTGAGAAAAGACAAAGGAAAGAATGAAGGTTACTTCCTTATGACTATTAGTGGAAATATGACAAGTAACAAATGTGACTGGAACATAAATCCAACCACACTCAATCTCATAGAAGAGAAAGTGGAAAGTAACCTTGAGAACATTGGCACAGAAGATCACTTCCTAAATATAACACCAGTAGCACAGACACTGAAAGCAACAATTAATAAAATGGAATAGAAGCTTCTGTAAGGCAAAGAACATGGTCAACAAAGCAAAACAGCAGCCTACAGAATGGGAAAAGATCTTCACCAACCCCACATCTGACAGATAAATAAACAAAGAACTCAAGAAACTAGACATAAAATTACCAAATAATCTAATTTAAAAATGGGGTACAGTTCTAAACAGAGAATTCTCAACAGAAGAAACTCAAATGGCTAAAAAGCATTTAAGGAAATGCTCAACATCCTTAGCCATCAGGGAAATTCAAATCAAAACAACTCTGAGATAATCATCTCACACCTGTCAGAATGACTAAGATCAAAAACACTGATGACAGCTTATGCTGGAGAGGATGTGGAGTAAGGGGAACATTTCCCCATTGCTGGGAATGCAAACTTGTACATCCATTTTGGAAAACAATATGGAGGTTTCTCAGATAACTGGGAATAAATCTACCTCAAGACCCAGCAATACCACTCTTAGGCATATATTCAAAGGATACACAATCATACCATAAGGGCATTTGCTCAACTATGTTCATAGCAGCATCATTCATATAATAGCCCAAATCTGGAAACAACCTAGATACTCCTCAACCAAAGAATAGATAGAAAATGTGGTACATTTACACAAAAGATCACTACTCCTCAGTGGTAAAAAACAAAACAAAACAAAATGGCATCTTGAAATTTTCAGGCAAATGGACAGAACTAGAAAAAAATCCCAAGTGAGATAATCCAGACCCGGAAAGACAAATATGGTTTGAACTCACTTAAAAGTGAATATTAGTCATAAAGCAAAGGATAACCAACCTACAGTCCACAACCCCAAAGAAGTTAAGTAACAAAGAGGAGCCTGAGAGGGACATTCATGGATCCCCTATGGGAAGAAAAAAAATAAGATCTCCTGAGTAAATCAGGAATGTGAGATGGAGGGGGTGAGTAGAAAGGGAGAGGGGAGGAAGGAAGAGGAGCGGGGAGGTGAACATGAGAGAACAGGGTGGTCAAGCTGGGGGGGAGCTAGGAAAAAACTATCTTGATAGAGGGAGCCATTGTGGGATTAGTAAGAAACCTGGCATTAGGGAAGTTTCCAGGAATCCGAAATGATGACCCCAGATAAAACTCTAAGCAATAGTGGAGAGGGTGCCTGGACTGGCCTTCCCTATAATCAGATTGAGAACTACTGTAATTGTCATCATAGAACCTTCATTCAGTGACTGATGGAAGCAGACACAGAGATCAGCGAAGCACTGGGCAGAGCTCCTGGAGTCCAGTTGAAGAGAGGAGAGAGTGTTAATACAAGCAAAGGGGTCAAGACCAGGATGGGGAAACTCACAGAAACAGCTGACCCGAGCTAGGACGAGCTCACTAACTCTGGACTGACAACTGGAGAACCTGCATAAGACTGAACTAGACCCCCTGAATGCAGGTAACAGTGGATGGCTTGGACAGTTTGTGGGGCCACTAGTGGTGGGACCAAGGCATATCCCTAATGCATGAACTGGCTTTCGGGAGCCCATTTCCTATGGAGAAGTACTTGCTCAGCATAGACACAGTGGGGAGGGCCTTGGTCCTGCCTCGGTGGGGTAATAGGACAGACTTCATTGACTCCCCATGGGAGGCCTTAACCTCTTTGGGAAGCAAAACGGGGGTAAGGGAAGGGGAAGGTGGGGGAGTGAGAGGAGGGAAGAACTTTAGAGACAGGAACTATAGAAGAAGACAAGGTCACCAAGAAGCTCCCCGATACCAGCTGCGTCTGACTCTGTGGTGATGGGAAGCCCCCACAGTACTTGTTTTACAATTTGCTACCTTACAGCAGGCTGTCCCACTTCTAGGGGGTCCTAGGACTAAGGGCCCTGTGGGCTCAGTGCAATTCTCTGGAAGGCTTTGAGCCACCAGCAACCCCACTCATTACAACTGGAGTATAGAGTAGCATCCTGAAAGATGCTCTGGGGTGGAAACTCCTGTGTCTGAGGAGAAGAGACACCTGACTATATTTCACATTGCTATCTCATTATCAAAGATGCAATAATGTTTAATGGGAAGTTTTCCTCTCTGGAATTTTTTAAAACTTACTTTTCTTTTATACATTACAACCCAACCACAGTTTCCCTTCCAAGAACCCTCTCCCACATCTCCTCTCTCCCTCCTGCTCCCCATCCACTCCTCCTCCATTTCCCTTCAGAAAAGAGCAGGCTTCCCAGGGATATCAACCAAACGAGGCATAACAAGTTACAATAAGACGAGGCACAAACCCTCATATCAAAGCTGAAAGAGGCAACCCAGAAGGAGGAAAAGGTTCATAGGAGAAGGCAAGTGAGTCAGAGGCACCCCCACTTCCACTATTAGGAATCCCATAAGAACACCAAGCTACACAACCATACCATCATTAGCAGATGCAAAACTTTTAAAGCCTCAATTTCCCCCTATAAATGTTAGATTTGACTTACAAATTATTATTCTGTTTGTACATTTTGGAAAGTGTGTGTAAATCAAAGTAGACTTTCATTTCCTCTTTGCTCTGTATTTGGGCAATTTCATATAAACTGCTTAAAATATTCTGTACAAGAATAGTAATTTCAATGATTCCTATGAAGCAAGCTACCCCAAAAGGTAGTAGACTAGTTCCTCCTTATCCACATGGGGCATAGTCCAAGACCCTCAATTGATGTCAAATGTGGTGATATATTGTTTATGATCTAATAAAGCCACTGAAGATCAGAGCAAAACCAGCCACACTAGTTAACCATTGATGCCTGGCAGTGGAGTACACACCTTTAATCCCAGCACTCAGGAGACAGAGGCAGATAGATTTATGTGAGTTCAAGGCCACCCTGGGCTACATGAGAGTGAATCAGTCTAAAAGAGAAACAGAGCTCATACCTTTAATCCCAGCACTAGAGAGATTATAAGGAGCTCAGTGAAGTCATTCTGAAGCTTGGTGGAGAGCAGTGCAGTCTGGAGATGCAATCTGAGGTTCAGTGGATCACTCCTTTGGTCTGAACCTTGGTAAAGGTAAGAACTCTCTAGTGGCTGACTGCTTTGCTTTTTTGATCTTCATCCAAGCTTTATTAAATCATAAGCAACATATAACTATAGCCAAAGTCTAGGGACAGTGCCAAACTCTAGATCCAATAACTTTATTATGCAGGCACATCTGTAATGAAATTTAATTTATAATTTAGGCAGAGAAAGGAATTGACAATAACTAGTAACAAAGAGAACAATTGTAACTATGTCTCATTAAGGTAAGGAGATCACCCCTCTTATCTAGATTGGACCAATATGATCACAAGAGTTCATAACAGTGGTTGAGAGCACAGAAGAGTCAGGGGCAGTGTCACTGCCACTGACTTTGAAGAGATGAGGTGCCTAGACTTTGAAAAGGAAGCATTTTTTCTCAGTTGCTCCTAGAATTTGCAGAGCAGAACAGCCATGTCAACACCTGGACTTAGTACAACTAGTGTCAGGCTTCTGAATGATACCTGCTAGTCAGTTCATGTCAGTTAGACTATTATGTGTTAAACCACTGTGTTTAAGGTCATTTGTTACTATAGTTTGTTTGTTTGTTTGAGACAGGGTGTCTTTGCATAACCTAAACTAGTCTTGAAATTATAACACTCTTGTCTCAGCATCTGGATGCTAAAAGTGCAGATGTATGATACTACCCAGCCACTAAAACAATTCTTAGTCTATTAGTCATTCCCAACTGTAAATTCAGCTGTTTAACAAAAGAAAATCTGAAATCTTGAAACCTTACAGTATGCTCGCAGTTTTCTCTACCCCTAAGTAGGAATGGAGTTTTGTTGGGGCTCTGTTTCTTGGGCCTAGGGAAGGTGACCCTCCTTTGCTCAGGATTTGCCTAAGTTCACTCCACAAGAGACAGCAGTCAATAATAGCACAGGGCTTCACGGGAAGGACACATTCCTTCTGTGAGACTGTTGGGACGACACATAGAGCTGTCGTACTTCAAATCAGTTCAGGGTTCACCAAACTCTGTCCTATTCCCTACAAGGCAGGGACTCCCAAGAGAAGTTCAGAAACCCAACGTAATTCACCCAAAGGCAGCAGCCCCTTTAGCCTAAGGCTATGTGCTGAGGTGTTGCAAGGAGGAAGCAGGCTGAAAATCCACTTTGCTGCAGGCCCTACTCCCTGACTAGGCCCATGTGCTTCAGTTTCCTTGTTCTAAAATGGTGATAGACATGGGTGAGACAAGAAGAGCACTTCTGAGGCTCATACACCATGAACGGAATGCTACTGACAAGCCCTCAGCACAGCTTCCATACCTAGTAAGCAAACAACTGCCAGAAGATTTACTACTGTTTTTGAGGATAAATACCCATGCCTTTAGAGAGTGAAGGGAGGAGGGAAGAGAGGTTGGTTCAAGCTTTAGAAATACACACACACACACACACACACACGCGCGCACGCGCGCGCACACACACGCACACACACACATGCACACACACAACAAACAATATACACAAATAGAGTATATGAAGAATTTTTGTTGAACATACCTAATTGTTCAATGCTGGTAAGATAGAAGGGAGGTCTCTTCCCAGGACAAAGGGATGGGTCATCCATCTTAGATTCCGATGTTCTGCCTCTGGAAGTCTGGAATGTGAACCTGGCATTTGGGATCAAGATCACATCCTGGTCACTATGGCTACATACACAAGATCTTCAAGCCTGGCCATCCAACTTCTCCTTCAAGTCCTTTCCTGTTCTTTTTGTTTCAATGACGCCACAGAAACTTCTTCAGGGAAAGGACTGGCCTGAGGCAGTTTTATATTCTTCATGATTGACAGGGCTCCTCTGCCTCCTGATATCAGCTGTGAGCCGCTGACACCAGGGCTGGTGGCACAAGCTAGGAGTCAGATAGTACCACCAACAGAAACTTCTCTTCCCCAGGGTGCCAGCAGTCCATTCTTCGTCTTCCAAATCCAAGGTTGATTCATTCTTCCCCGCCCACAATTCTAACAGGCTGGATCCTAGGACTGACAGCATGTTTTACCCACAGTAAGCATAAATTCTTGAGAGAATGAGGATGGAGAGAGAGTTTTTCAACAATGGACATGTTAGGAGAGATGGCCTCAGGAGCAGAATTATTATCATTAGCTACTGTGTGGGGGAAGAAAGGAAGGAAGGAAGGGATGGAGAGAAAGAAGAAAAGAGGAAATAAGATGAAAATAAGAGCCAGATATTTTTCCTCTTATCAGTAGTCCAGGGTGTGCTTCCCTGAGCCCCTTTCCTGTGAAGTGTGTGTATTTTGAAGGAAGCTTATTCATGAAATTGCTCTAAGGGAATATTTACTCCTGGTTTATAACAACCTCCATTTGTTTATGCTTTTTAAAGCTCCCAGAAGTTAAAAACAGGAAGTCCTAGTTGGCCTAACAGATGTAAACTCAAGCTCTGTGGGTTCCCCATAGGAATCTGGCATCCACGATTCTCTGTGGTACTTTGGCAACTTGTATCAGGAAGACAAAGGCCTGGGTGTTTTCACACTGAAGACCTGCTCTTGAGCTTGATAACTGAAAGTGACCCTTGACTCAGAGCCTCCACAGCTTTGCCCTGCAAGCCCTACATCCCCTTCCCGACCTTGAGTGGCAAGGGAATTGTTCTGCCTTGGCAGGATGTCCTTTGCTATGAACAGTGTGAAGTATGCAAGGCAGGAGAGAGAGGAGTGAGATGGTAGCGTGGGCCCAGTGGAAAGATCGTGGCAATTAGAGTCTGTCCGTTTGATTTTCTGCCTCTGCCGTGCTCCAGCCTGGGGTCTTTGCCCTTTAAATTAAAGCTTATTTCCATTATCTAGGGAGTAGCAAAGTTTCATCTACCTTAAAAATACACAGAGATCAAAGACATCCAAGTAAGATTCTTGGCATGATACCTGGTGACTCATGGCAGTCCAGAACCAGCTTCCTTGTCAAATAGCAATGTTGGCCACACATGGTCTATGTCTTCATTTAAGCTGTGACTTGTGCCATTGCAGAATATATCAAACACTCAAAATGGTATTAGGAGGTAGGACCACTGGGAGGGAATTGGGTCATGAGGGTGGAGCCCTCCTGTTTGAATTAGTGCCTGCTGTGCTTTTACTATGATTTGTCTCCTCTGTAACTAAGCCTGAAACCTCATTGCCATTCTGTTTCAGTACCGTGCATGGACCAAGGCAGCTGGCCTGACTCCTATGCACAGCATCAGGGTCAGACTCCAGAAGATAATGCTATGAGTGGCCATTCAGGTCATACAGTGACCTGTGAGTGTTCCATGAATCTGCTCCATGGCCTCTAAGGCTAAGCATGACCCCAAGCAAGTTCAAGACAGCACAGCAAAGCAGGGACAAACCCCCATGGCCTTCTCCATATTCACTCTGCCTGAATAAGACGCTAATTCATCCTGCGAGTTAACAAAAGCATGAACTCTGCCTGGCCAAGCACTGCCGTCTTAGAAGACCATGAGCTATCCCGAGAAAGCCCAGAAGTTCCTCAGCATAAAGTGGCTGTCCTGAGACCCCCACCTGCAGGTCTCACAGCTCACATAAAAGGATCTTCACGTCTTCACATTGCTCTATCAGTGACTCCTTGGCTCTGATGGACTCACACATGGCTTTCTCAGATGGGTGGTTTCATGTGTTAGAAAGAAAACAATGACAGCTGCACTGCCCCCTGCAGACCACGGCTAGTCTCCAACATGCAGCCCAGCAGTGCAGCCCAGAAGGAAAACTAAACACACCACAGCTCACTGTGGCCGTCTTTTCAAGATGTGTGTAACACTGGGTGACAAAAGACATTCCCTCTTTGTGGAAATGACTGGTGCCACTGCTTCCAGCCCTGTACAACGTCGTCACCAAAACACCATGTGCCATCATTTAGAGAAGTCCTCTATCCGTTCACTGAAGAAACATGCAAGTAGGCTTCTCTGACCTTCTTAAAACTCTCCCAGGGTGTTTTGGTGTGCCATGGTTATTAAAACGCAGCTCCTTGTCTTGTGGGATGTGTGTTGAGGCTAGAACCCAGTATTTCCCACATCCTAGGCAAGTGCTATATCACTAAGCTACACCCAATTCCCAGTGGCCACGTGTCAACATTAGACTTTGTGTGGTGAATGGGACAATAAATATGAGTGTTGTGGCTTAGATAGCCAACATGCCACCTTCCCTGGATCTGCTGGGGCCCTCTCTAGACAGTGGCCCTTAAATCTAGATCCCCCCATTGCAAACTTGGCAGCTTGACTTGCTGCTTCAGAATGTTTGAACCCAGCTAGGTGTGTCAACAACGTACATCAGCAATCTCAGCACTTGAGAGGTGAGGTAGGGGATCACAGTGAGTTTGAGGCAACCTGGGCTACAAAGTGAGGTTTTGAGACCAGCCCGAGCTATAAAGATGGGGTCGGTCTCAAAAACAAAAACAGAAGTTAAAGATCCACCTTAGAAGAAAGACATGCCTTAGAAAACATTGGAAATGAGTATTTGTCCCACAGCAAAGTAAAAGGAAGAAGAAAATTGAAATGGTTAGAGGAGCAGAGGGGCTGATGGGAAGGGAGGCAAGAAGTGAAGAGAGAAAGCCAGGCCTGGTAGGAAGCGTGGTGGGTGCATCCTTGTGAAGGCCCTTGCCTTCACACCTGTCAGAGCAGCTCCTCAAAGGATGGGGAGGAGGAATGTGCTGGGGACCATGAGGCTAAAGATGGCAAGTTTCCCTGAGGGCATTATACGAGTCAGCCTTCTTGCTGTGGCAAGACACTAGAGATAATCTAAATGAAAGAAAGATTTGTTTGGCTCATACTTTCCAAGTTTTCAGTGGGCAGTTGGCCAGTCCTGTCCCTCTGTGCAGATGGTACCGCTGTGTAAAGGGAAACATTTTCCTTGAGAGAAGTCTTCCCACCAGCCTGGTTCTAGAGCCGCATCAGTCCCAAATAAACACACAGGAGGCTATATTCATTATGAAGCTGTTGGCCTTGCTTGTTTCTTACTGGCTAGCTCTGACTTAAGTATTTATCCCATAATTGCTAATCTAAGCATTTCTCTTACCGGAGAACTTTCCGGGCTTCCTACCCCATGGTGTTACATCTTGACTTCCTGTGTTTCTCCTACCCAGAGTCCTCCTGGACTCCTAGTCCCACCTATCTAACTTCCCTATTGGCCAACAGTGCTTTATTGACATAATCACAGGACTTCCCCCATCATCGCTGACCACAATGAGGAAGCATGTAGTGGAGGGAAGCTGCCCTCCTCATGGCAGGAAGTAGGAGAGGTAGGATCCCACCTCCCCCAACCTCAAAGGCACTCCTTAGTGACCTAACACTTGTCACTAGGCCCCATCTTGCTGCCAGCAGCACCACAGGCTCACGGTTGAGCTTAGTGGGGCATGACCCAAACCTTAGCATGCACAGAGAAGGCTTTGTTTCTTCAATTTCAAAATATAGCACAAAAGCTTTATGAATGGACTCACAAGAAAATTAATGTCTCCAAGACATTAAAAACAGTGTGTTGCGGTATACATTTTCATCAAAGTATCTGGCAAAATATTTTTCTGGTTCCTTTCACACACTCCTTTCCAAGAATATTAACTCCTTTTCTTCCTTCCTTGCTACCTTCCTTCCTTCCTTTCTTTCTCTTCCCCTTCTTTCTTTCATTCATTTGTTCTTCATTTCCCTTCCTTCCTCCCCTTCTTACCTTTCTTGTCCTAAAGCTCCCACAAGAATACAAAGCACATGAATATCAGTTACCTTCTGCTGCATAATAAGCTGCCTAGACTATTTTGACAAATGACCACAGAGGTACTGACTGTGCAAAGTGAGCCATTTGTGGCTAAAATCAAGGGTGGATCCTTTTAAGGACTCAAGGGGAAAACCTTCCTTTTCACAACTCTTCTGGCTTCCTGAGACTTCAACATGCCTGATGTCCCCACTCTAAGCCCAGGTCCTCCGTCAGACCTTCTTGTGATCCTTTTACAATACCCTAGAATCTGCCTGTGGAATGCAGGATACGCTTAGAATCCTAGTCACAGTCTCTTTACTTCTTCTACAACAACTACTGCTTCATAGACAATAGAGTGTAGTTGTTGTCATTGTTGGAGTGGGTAGCCATAATTAGGACTACAAGAATGGTTTTTAAACAACTACCATGCTTTCCTCTCTTGATTCTTTGTTGCTTTTTTGACCATGGGTAGACTAAATCTTGACTACAGAGAAGCTGCTAGAGAGGGCTACTCTCCTGGCCTCGATGTGGACAGTTCAGCTCTGTTGTTGGGGTCTCACCCTCCAGTGGACTATGATAGGTGGTCAGTTCAGGTTCAAGGGGAGAAAAGAGAGGCTGGGTGTCCAAGTAATGCTGTAAAGGTCAAGACACTGGGAGAGGAGGAACATGACATTTCACAGGATCCACAGAAAAACCCAGCTATTGTCAAATCATTGGTCCACTGCATGTATTAAGTACCAGTTCTTTCCACGATTGCTACTTCATATGCAATATTTAAACTCCTGTTCCCCTCCTTCTTGCCAGGCCCTCTTTACCAAGGCTAAACTATCCCAACCACATTAAGCATTGACACATTTCCTCCAAGGATGTATGCCACCTTCTCCTCCCTGCACAGCATTGCCTACCTGTCAGCTATCCTGCACCTCCAAGGCAGCCTTTGCCGAGGACAGGGCCATTCTAACGCAGAATCTAAGATCCATCGTCAACAGCACCACCGTGTGGCAGGAAGAGGAATAGTAGCTACGGCTGGGCAGAGAGACCTCTTTCATAGACTGACTCTTTTCTCATAATCACAATGGTCCAGGAAGACACACTGCCCTGTCAGCCTGATTTTAAAGCGTAAGACAAATAACAATAATGAATATGTATTACATGTATAATAAATTATAAGGACATAATTGATCTCCACTTGCTTGCTAGGCAACACACCATATAGTCGTTTTCTTCACAACGTACAACTTGGGGATAACTTTTTATTTTGATACAGTTTCAAACTTTCTTTCTGCTTGTTTTTTTTGTTTTCTTCAAGACAGGGTTTCTCTGTGTATCCATGGCTGTCCTGGAATTAGCTCTGTAGACCAGGCTGACCTCAAACTCAGAGATCTTCCTGCCTCTGCCTCTTGAGTGCTGGGGTTAAAGCCATGAGCCAACACTGCCTAGCATAGATTCAAACTTCAAAACATTACAAGAATAGTACAAAAACTCTGCTCTGCCTTTTACCCATAGTCACAAATTAATTACATAATGCTCTACGTGCTTTGTGTCTCCCCTCCCACCACACACTATTCCAAAACTGCAACACTAGGCTGGAGAAACGTCCTTTCATTTATTGCAGTGTTTAATTCCTAAGGAAAAGACAATCCATTGCATACATTCCTAGAGCGTTGTTCTCAAAGTCAGAAAACTCTGCACTAATACAACATATGTTTAACCCACAGTCCATATTTCAATCCCATCAATAATCCCTATAAGTCTTCAAATAACAAGAAAATTAATCAACATGCCTTTTAAATCCTTCATGACTAAATGCATACATTTAGTTGACAGAATATGGTAAGTATATATAATTATAAGACAGAATATTATAATGTCAACAAATCAAACCTGTCCACACTTTCTATCTAATAGTTCAGTTAAGGGAATACTTAGCCAGAGTATGGAAACTGCTAAATTCATATAGTGATTTTAAAGTGCTTCTTCTAGCTGTGGTGATGAACGCTCATAATCCCTTGGGAGGAAGGAGGATTATGAATTTTAGGCCAGCCTGGACCACACACTATGAAAGGTGACGTGAAAAATATCAAGCCATTTGATGTGTGGTAAATCCAACTAGGGAGACAGAGAGTGGCCTTCAAGCAACAGAGCGGACTCCTGATAGACTCATAGCAGACACCAGTCCAGGAAAATTGCACCTGGCCATGATGGCTTCAAGGCACAGAGACCAAGACAAACCACACCCAGAGCACCAGCCATGTGTCATTGCCAATGTTTGCCTCAAAACAAAACCAAACAATAACAACAACAAAAAACAAGTGTTCAGACCTTTCCCAATCCTGGAGGTAAAGAAGAGGCTGTGCTATTCCCGGGATGCCTTGTGGTGGGAGGGTGTTTTGCTTATACTGGTCCAGGAAACACCATGGTTTCTCTTGATTCACCACCTACAGTCAGTCTCATTGTTTGTATAATACGAAATCACTGTTCAACGATAAAAATGGAATAAAGAGGAGGGCTGCATTTGGCCAGGAATGGTGCTGGTGCCAAATTACATAAACCCTCCCTTGGCTTTTCTTCAAATAGAGAAAGAAAAGTGCACAGCATGTAGTCACCGGGTCAGTGCAGAGAGAGTGCAGTTTGGAGTCCTTCTTGTTCAAAACAACAACTTGTTTCTGTCTTCCTGTGAGTTCCCTAGCCAGACATTATGGTGAAAAGCCCCATGTAATAAGCTGTGGTCTGTGAGATTTAGGATGTGGATCATAGCCAGCAGTGAACTCTTTAAAGATGTAAACAAAATAGCTTCATCTGTGTCTAAGTTCCTTCAGAAAGTTACAGAGTCAGGAAGGATTATGGTCACTTGTGAGTCACAGTACAACACCGGGGTCTGACTCACAGTAGGTGCTTATATACTATTGGCTGATTGTACAAAAGCAAAATATATACATTCAGACACTTTCTTTTAAGACCCTCAATCTTATTATTTAATCACAAGAATTAAAAAATCTCTCCATCAACATTGGGACTATTAGTATAACTTTAATGTATTATGATAACCAGGCATAGGGGCATATACCTGCAATCCCAGCTATAGGCTGAAGTAGGAGGCTTTCAGGTTCTAGGCAAGTCTGGGGAACAGAATGAGATGTTTGTTTCAAAAGAAAACTTCTTACAATGTGATGGTAAATAGAATGGGAATTCATTGAGCAGTTGAAACTGGGGCACGCTGCAGAATAATGTTTTCTGGAAGTCAACAGTAATACAGTGTGATTTATAAGTCAAGGTTATCCTGTTTGCATGCCTCTGTTACACGCTTTAAGTGGCTCTGTAT